GAAGAATTGCTGGAAGCAGGTTACAGGTTACAGGTGGAAGAATTGCTGGAAGCAGGTTACAGGTTACAGGTGGAAGAATTGCTGGAAGCAGGTTACAGGTTACAGGTGGAAGAATTGCTGGAAGCAGGTTACAGGTTACAGGTGGAAGAATTGCTGGAAGCAGGTTACAGGTTACAGGTGGAAGAATTGCTGGAAGCAGGTTACAGATTTACCTCCCACTCTTGTCAGTGGATGGATTACGGGCCGGCCGATGCTCGTCAGGTCAATATCTGTAGGGCCGTCCATGTATAACATTTCAATTTGGCATCTTGTGAGAAAAATATGAAAAATAACATTTATACTATTAGAACAACATTGATAAAATATATCATTTTATCATTTTTCGTTGCTAAATCTAACAATAATTATTCAACCATTAACGATATTCTAATTGGTCACATTTTCACATGAATTTATTTTAGGGCATCCAATGAATTACTGCCACGTCATCTTTACCTTCAACAACTCATGATACACATTAGACAATTAAAAATAAAAATGTTAATATAGTATTGGTTTGGCTAACAAATAGAGGTCACAAGCAACACAAAAATTAGAGAAGAAAAAAATAAGGATAAAATACTTGACAACATGAGTGACATTATTTATGCTATTATACAATAAATAAATAAATAAATATATATATATATATAACATACCGCCCACGAGTTACATGCTTCATTTGTTGGCTTTATCAAAAGCTTGTAGACTTAAACAATCATTGTTATGTACTTCCCTTAATTTATTGGAAAAATTATAAATAAGTGGGACAATTTTAAAATAATTATATTATGGGCGAAATTTTTTTTATACAAGTTTGGCATACAAAAAAGATTTGCACTAAACATAAAAAAATAAAAAATAACTTATACCATACAAAAGACTAGACTAGACCCATCAAAAAAAATAAAATTATTGTTTCGTTGTCTAACTGAAACATAATTTTTCATAATTTATTTTGGGTAAACTGGACCAATAATGACTTTCTACCTAGCCTTTCATTTAGGCATTATTCGAAGTCCACCTACCTTAATTTTCGGTGAATTATAGCAAAATAATCAGTAACTGAGTCAGAAATTCAATGTAAAGGGATGCATATTAGTCACAACCCCAATTTTTTTTTTTTTTTGCTTTCCCCATGATAAGCGACAACGAGATATTACCAAACAATCACCACCACCAAACACCTTCACGATCTATCTCTCATCGCAACCCACAGCTATGGTATGGTGTAATAATCTCACTTCTACATTAATAAATCATTTCTGGATATGAAGTGATCACCAAACTCGTGAAACAGCTGCCAATTCTAATTGATTATGAAACTCTAACGTAAAGTTTTATAATTAAAAAAGGGCCTAATCTATCTCTGATCTTTTTTAGACACATTGTAGCATTTCTCTTATTTTATTTATTTGAGAGGAGGGAGTTAGTTAAAAATGTGTGAACTCGTGGATCATGATATTGCTGTCCCGGGATTCCAATAATTGAATATGCATCAGCAATAAATACAAAATTGAAAAACATTGATTATCTCGCCCGGATTTTATAGCACCACTGTATTTTTATCAAAATATCATTTTAGTCATTACACTTTTACTAAAATCTCACTTTAGTCCCTTTCCCTTTTTAATTTTAATCAATCTCATTAGTGATAGATGGACACTTGACTTAAAGTGTGAAAAAATTATTGCACAATTAAAAGTGAATAAATCAAAATAAAATTATGGTGAAAATATAGGGAAGCTAAGTGTAATTAACTCATAAACGTGTCCAAATTCAATCTGCTTGGTCGGTTGGCCCAGGCATGGAGTGAAAATGAGATATCAATAGATATAATGAAGGAAAGTGATTGCCCTCAGTCCTTGCAATTTTGGGAGCTTTCATTTGTGGTGCTGACTGGAAAAGGTTGAAAGCTGTGATCAAGTTCAGGAAGTAGATGGGTAAGATCATGTGGTTGTGTGTACTTGTGTTAATGGGTCTGTGCAACACTGTTGTGTCAAAATCACTCATCAAGTCTCTACCTGGCTTTCCTGGTAAGCTTCCCTTCAAACTTGAAACTGGGTGAGCTCTCTCTCTCTCTCTCTCTCTATACATATAGATGGGACAAAATTACAATTTGCATACTTGTAATTTACATCGAGTCTTGCTTTGTCCCTTAACTTTTTAATTGTCCCAATCAACTATCTAAATTTCAAGTCACGTTATAATTAGAACCAGTTATATAACGTGATTTGAAAATTTAGACAAAGGAATTAAAGGGAGATCTTGATTAAAAAAAAAGAAGCAAGAGTGCTAAGTGTAGTTAATATTATCACATCATTGTTCTTCATTAGTTTTCGAAACAATAACGTCATAAAAATGGGTCTGATTACAACCTGACTCGAAGTGTGAGGTGGAAATTGAGACAATTTCAAAGTCAATGGGCAAAATCAAATTAGATATAAAATATAAGGGTGAATAATGAAATTTAAGCTGTATAGATATGTATATAGTTGTTTGCATCAAGAAACACCTTGTTTTGTTTTTCATTTGAAGATTTATTTTTATTTATTTTTGTGATTGGATATGAAGATACATTGGTGTAGGAGAATTAGAAGATGTGCAGCTATTTTACTACTTCATTGAGCCAGAGAGGAATCCAAGTGCTAACCCATTAATGCTTTGGCTTACTGGAGGTCCTGGTTGTTCTGCTCTTTCTAGCCTCATATATGAAATAGGTACATATTGTTAGAACGTGTCCCACATCGTTTGAAATTGTCCCATTTGTACGGGTTATAAGGCTCTAATTTCTCTCTTCTTAATACCCGGATTTTAAGAAAAAGTGTGAGCTATACTTTTCAACTTGGTATCAAAGCTTGGTTGGATATGTGATTGGTGTGCCGTTTGTCCGGCTATTGTATGTTGTGGTCTAGGAGGTGTGTTGAAATGTGTCTCACATCACCTAAATGTGTCTCACATCACCTGTGGAATTGTCCCATTTGAGCTCTCTCTTTTTAATATTTGGGTTTTAAGAAGAAATGTGAACTGAGTTTTTCAACTCATATAATCATAACTATTCGAGTTTTAATCTGCATCGTATGATTTTAAGATTTTAATTGTGTTAAACGATGTGAATCATAGTTGGATTTTAAATTTAGTATGATCTACGATTTGAATTTTACTTTGATCCTGATTTTACCAAATTTTTTTCTTATTATTTATTTTGTTATATATATGTGTGTGTGTGTATGTTTATATCAATATATAAAAAATTGACTACAAATGCATTTTTCAGACATCTATAATATATGTTAATTTAGAAGATGCATTATGTCAAATTTATCATTTAATGATTTAAAATTATGTAACATAGATTATCATTAACAATAATTTTTTTTAATTTTATTTTGCATTAAAAGTAAAATATTAGGATTCTCAATCCAATTTTAATATCCAATCCACGGAACCCTTCCAACAATCCCACCTAGGATCCCAGTTTTAACAACTTTGCATGTAATCGTTACATATGAGTGTACTTAATCGTTGCTTTGATGTATTGCTTCATTTGTTTCGGTAAAAAATATTTCTGCATTTCTAGTATTTGGTACTATAGAAAATGAAAGTCAATACAAAACAATTTCTATGATCAATAGAAAACAAGATTCGTTGAGGTGAAAAATGTTTTTCACTTTAAAAATGTGAAAAATATTTTCTAAATTAAAGTCTCGTCAGTGCTATCATATTATTGTCACAGCTACCACCCCTACCACCACCACTTTCCCCATCACTACATGTTCCTCCACCTAACGACCACAACTAAGACCACCACTGATGTATTAGTTTCAAGGTTGCAGCGAACCATAAAAAAATATTTTCTGATTTTTTTTTTCCCTAATAAAAATGCTATGTGACAATGTGACTTTTCTAAGAAGAACTTAATATATATATTTTTTTCATCAATGTGTAGGTCCATTAGCTTTTGACTCTGGAAATTCCAATGGGCACATTCCAACATTTGTATTGAACCCATACTCATGGACAAAGGTATAAAGTTGGATAAATTACAGTTTGCACACAAAAGCATCAAGGTTTTAGATTTTTTTTATTTTTATTTTCCTTGAACTATTGAATTTTTGTCAATGTGGTCCAGTTGACAGTCGTCATCAAATTCTTTAACATAAAATGTCATGTGACACTTGAAAGGTCAAATGAAAAAAAAAAAAAATTGTAACACTTGAAAGGTCAAAGTAGGAAAGTGTAATGCTTAAGGATTCAAAGTAGAAGTGTTGATACCATGTGGCATTTTTTGTTAGAAAACTAGGCAACAGTTGCTAAGAACATCTCCAATAGACTAACTAAATGAACATCTTTAATCGCTTCAGCTAGTCTCCTCTCAATTTGTTTCTCTAGCCATGATGCTGATTATTTTGCCTCTCGTCTTCTTCTTAGAACATCTCAATCAGGAGAGACATTTAGAGTAGAAAAGTTTAATGTAATGTTTAAGGAGTCAAAGTAAAAAAAAAATTGTTGATACCACGTGACATTTTTCATTAAAAAACCGGACAGCAGTTACTAATAACATATCGAATAAACTAACTAAATGAACATCTTCAGTCAATTTAGCTAGTCTCCTCTCATTTTCACTTCTCCAACAACCATCATGCTAGCTATTTTGCCCCTCCTTCTCTTAGAACATCTCAATCAGGAGAGACATTTAGAGTAGAAAAGTTTAATGTAATGTTTAAGGAGTCAAAGTAAAAAAAAAATTGTTGATACCACGTGACATTTTTCATTAAAAAACCGGACAGCAGTTACTAATAACATATCGAATAAACTAACTAAATGAACATCTTCAGTCAATTTAGCTAGTCTCCTCTCATTTTCACTTCTCCAACAACCATCATGCTAGCTATTTTGCCCCTCCTTCTCTTAGAACATCTCAATCAGGAGAGACATTTAGAGTAGAAAAGTTTAATGTAATGTTTAAGGAGTCAAAGTAAAAAAAAAATTGTTGATACCACGTGACATTTTTCATTAAAAAACCGGACAGCAGTTACTAATAACATATCGAATAAACTAACTAAATGAACATCTTCAGTCAATTTAGCTAGTCTCCTCTCATTTTCACTTCTCCAACAACCATCATGCTAGCTATTTTGCCCCTCCTTCTCTTAGAACATCTCAACGTGTCAAGATTGCTTTAGGGACTGCACATGCACAGATTGGAGAGCAGTTGACATCTTAACTTGTTCTATTCCCACATCGAAATATTAGACCACAGTTTTGCGCCATTTAAAGAGCCACCACAGAGGCTAATGTCACCGGAGCCCATCACTCAAGTGAGGGTATTAAAGTGGTTGGAAGGTGGTCTAGTCCAACAGGCTGTCCCTGATGGGGTTATTTGCTGGCCCGCCCATCCTAAGGTAGGAGTTGGGCTTTGAAGAATTGCTGGAAGCAGGTTACAGGTTAACAGGTGGAAGAATTGCTGGAAGCAGGTTACAGGTTTACCCCCACTCTTGTCGGTGGATGGATTACGGGCCGGCCGGTGCTCCTCAGGTCCATATCTGCTGGGCCATTCTCAATATGACAACCACTCTTTTTTTTTTTTTTTTTTTTTTTTTTTTTAACACTTGGGCCCCTTCTTGGTGGCCTGTCTCCCACAACAACAGCCAATTTTTTTTATAAACTTTTTTCGTTTTTTTTTATGGCCCAACTCCCTAAATGCATTATTACTTTTCCTAATTATGAAAATGACAATCATTTTTTTTGGTGATTCTATTTGCACTTGAAAAATAATTGAGTATATACCTAATTAAATTTTAGAAATTTTAATTCATATTATATGCTAATTTACATTTATTAATAAGGAAAACACATATTAAATCCTAAAATAAAATATCTTTTTTTTCATGGCACACCCTAATTACTTATATGTATTATTTAGATTCAAGTCTCTTATCTTCTTCCCCAAATTTCAATTATTTTATCTTTTTCTTTCTCACTCTCAAATTTCAATTCACCTTACCAAAACTTACCATTATCAACACCATTGTTTCTTTTTGTGTTGTTACTTACAAATAGAAGAAAGTTTGAACAAAATCAAATAACGAATGAGAATAATAATCAAAACTATTTTTTGAAACAATCCATCAAAGGTGATGTAAGTATTCACATAAATATCGAATTACAATTATTAATTTTGTGTTTAGGGTATTATTTAGATAAAAGAAAAAACTCTTTAAAATTGCATTTGAATTGGAAAAATTAAAATAAGAATTTCAGGCTAAGATAAACAAAAATTATAAGAAACTATATATAGATACTGTATTGAAATATATAAGGAGAGACGAGAGAGAGAACTGGGCATCGTTCAAAAAAAAAAAAAGAAAAAAAGAACAAACTGGACAACCCATCAATCATCTTCTCAATGGGCACTTGGCATGGTGAACAGAATAATTGCTGACACTTTTCAGAAAAATCCTTTTCACAAATCAATAAAATAACTGCTTTATATATTCTCATAAAAAAAATAAAAATAAATTAGTGATGGTTTAATTGATATTGAGAAATCTGTATGTGAATAAATAATTGTGAGAAATCTATTTAAGAATTTTTGAAAATTTTTTTGTAAAGTGGTGTAATTTGAAATTTTTGATTTGTTTATTATTTGGGTATATCTAGAAGGATAATTTAGGAAAAACATAGGATGTTTTGAGAATAAAATATAAGCTTGAATAATTTAATGGGATGTATTGATAATTGAACGTACTTAATGATTTTTTTGGGTGGAAATAGAATCCTTCACTTTTTTGTTTTTCTTACACTCGGGCCCAATATCTGATTTACATTTTCCCTTTCTTGGGCCCAATAATATATGGTGGCCTGTCTCCCTCAATAAGAGCCTTTTTTTTTTTTAATTTAACTTTTTATATTTTTTTTTATGGCCCAACTCCCTAAATGCATTATTACTTTTCCTAATTATGAAAAAAAGAGTAGACTCTGTTTGGTTTGATTTTCTTACTTTTAGAAATATTTTTTAAAATTTAAAAATTAATTTGGTAAAAAAAAAATTGTTTTAATTATTTTATATAATTTTATTAATTGATATGACTTAAATAATTTTTAAAATTCAAAAAAAAAATTCATATTTATTTTCGTTAAACTATATATATATATATATATTTAATTTTGAAGATAGTTTCACAAAAACCAAACAAACATGTGTCCAAATAACAAAAGATAATTTGTTTTTTGAAATATTCTCTTGGAAACCAAACTCATCTTTGATCTTCCCTAAAGGAAACTTTTTTGATCATCCA